TAACTATAGTCATTTGTTTTAGCGTAGATAACTTGAATACTAAACTACGAGTCAATGGGAAAAAATATTGCAAAAGCTCCATTGTTGTGACAATTTCACAAAATCGGAAGTGAACGTAAAAATAACATGTCCCACATTTGGGACACAATCCTTAACTAGTGGGATGATTGTCGTTTAGTCGGTTAAAATAATGTTTTTGCGCAGTAACAAGCACGCCAGCGGCACTTTGTCAAAATGCTTGACATATCGCCCGAATGTCCAACCTCTGAAACCAGTGTTCTAGTGATGCCTTTTTTTCATTTCTGTTTAAATTTACCACAGATAAAAAAGAGTGCCTTGAGCGGAAAAAGTTCCGTAATTTTGAAATTCGAATATGATTTTAGTCTGTTGTTTTGAACGATTCCCATTTATTTTTTAAACGTAAAGTTGTTTGTAAAGTACGTTTCTGGATAATTTACACTACAGTACGGAAATAGGTCCAAAGCTTCCTTAGATATTTCAAAAGATGGTTACGGTTGGAAGATCACAAGTTGATATTTCTAGAGCATTCTGCTGAAGAAATTTTAAAGCTTTAATGAAATACGAACAAATCTTTATTGGTCATTGTATGTCGTTCAACCAGTGTTGGCCTAGTGGCTTCAACGTTCGACATTCCTGAGGTCGTAGGTTTGATCCCCGGCTGTGCACCAATGGACTTAATTTCTATGTGCGCACTTAACATTCGAACAGTAAAGGAAAACATAGTGAGGAAAGCCGACATGGCTTAGACTCAAAAAGTCAACGGTGTTTGTCTGTCACATCTGAGGTCCAGACCTAAAAAGTTGTAGCGCAATTGGTATTTAGTCGTTTAACCTGGTCTTGGCTTCGATTTCTTTATATGACTTAACAAATCGAAAACTATTTCTATCGGAAAAAAACAGTAGTTTTTTACATTAGACTCATTCGATGACGGGGCTTCAATTAAAAGCGTATAACACCGGTATCCCTAAAGGGATGCAAGGGATGCAGGTTAAAATAAATAACAGTAGCTGAAAATAGTTAAATAATCCCTAAACACGTAGCGACAGATGCAAGTCGAGGAAACGCTAATCCTAGGGCCGTTGCTATTTCCAAATGACATCAAACGCAGTTTTAACCGGTTACAAGGAGGTGCATCACAAACAAGCGAAATTAAGTTAAATCATATTTATCTTGCAACTAGACATTTTTTCATATATGTATAGGCAATTAATAAATAGGTATTTTTGAAATATCCTATTCTTATATACATCTCCTTTCGAAGGTTGGCGATACATTTATTGTGTAATGCGTAATGGATAGAATTCGTCCAATGCCCCCCAAAAGTACCTACCTACCAGTATATTTGCGTAACTTCAAGTATACCTCTATATCTTGACTATATCTCTATAGTCTATTTCCCGCTTAAATCAATTCGTATATGTGTAGGATTTTAAAAAAATAATACTTTTTTATCTGATTGCAAGAAAAATATGAATTAACAATAATTCTTAATTGGATTTTTTTGCTGTCGCTGCACCTCCTATTTGGAACCGGTTAAAACTGCGTGGATTGAGAATCTATCAATACAATATACCTATATATATATAAAACTCCAGACATTGCGTGTACAGTCCATTTACGTTTTAGTATTGATTACACGATGTAAAATCCTACTGGTATAATATGATAATGCTAATAATTACATTAATTTCATCATAGTATCTATGATGAAAATAATGTAACCTTATAACGCTACGTTCGTTATATTTTTGGGATATTATTATAATACGTCACTTAAAACCGACCCTAGATGTTCATTCGACATTCATTAAATAATCAGAACTGAAACTAAATAATAGCTAACATGATATTTGACTTGTCGTACAAATATGTGTATTGTTAGGATCATGATCGTGGCTGGAGCGGCCACTGTTTTGTTGCCCTCTAGTGTACATTAGACCTAGTGTTCGAAACCATACGAGGTAGCGTTTACTAGCATAATTCACGTAGCATCAAAGTCTCAGTTGAAGTTTTATATATAATTAAAAATGCGCCTTTGCAAAGGGGCCTCGTATCCCTTTAAACGCGGCTTCTCTTAGCCCCACGATAGGTCGAAGAAGCGTAATCAATTAATCAAATAAATTATGCCTTAACAAAACAAAAAACAGCGAATAAAAGAATGACGTAAAAATATTTTAACTAGGGAAGGAAAGATAAGAATAGATAAAATAAATAATACATCATTAAGAAGAATAACTAAGGTAGCAGCTGATTTCACAAAGTGGAACAAGGAAACTTGATGCCCAAGGTAGAATAAACGCAATAGAAGAAGACAATTTAGCAGGTGGATAGACCAAATTAAGGAAACAACAGGTACATGGCAGAGAGTGGCACATAAATGCCGGGATTTGGAGGACGCCTTTGCCAAAAAAGGAGACAAATATCTAAAAAGAGTGAGAATTATAAATGTATGTAAATGTAAAGTACCTGAATTAAAAGGCTATTATTATTTTCTAAAGTACAGTTTTTAACCGTCTGCCGTACCAAAAGCTAGTCAAATCAAGCCTTGTACCATACGCTAAAAGCTTACCACACTAAAGTACACAACTTACCCCCGCGTGCGCTGTAAATTTACGATGCAACCGTCACGGGAATTTCGTTACGGAGACCGGATTTCGGGCAATTTTTCCTATCGAATTTGGGTTAATTGTCTTGTGCATATGGTAACATTTATCTTTTATTTAAGGCTCGCTTGGTAAAATATAATACATATTTTGTTTGCTGAAAAAGAACGTATGCCAAATTTTAAATTATGACTTTGGATTTGAAAGATTTCGCCGCACAATTTTTGTGTAATTCAGTTTTAAGTTAAATTTCATAATGCAACAAGGTTTATAGTTAATTAACTATGTATGTACATTGTACATATGTTTATAGTATAAAGATAGTTCGCCAATCACATGATTTACGCCATTGTGGGATACGCTCCCGGATTCCTTACGATCGGCTACCTCTAACCTCTTTTAAAAGTCTTCTACATAAACTCTTCTTAACCATATCCTATCCTGCTCAATCGTGACTTGTATTCATATATTTTATTTTTCTTTTGTATTTTATTTTGAATTCATGAAGATTAGCTTTTAGTTTTTTGTTTATTTTTTACGTTAGATTAAGTATGGTAATTCTATATTTTTTCACTTGTAATTTAATTTTTGTCAATTTGGTTATTCTTACACTTTGTCCTTAGTATTTCTTTTGGTAGTTTTTTCCTTTATATATAAGGTTGCCTGGAAGAGATCGCTTGGTAGCAATAAGACCGCCCCTTGTATCCTTATTAGGATTTATGGTACTTGTTATTATATGTTACCTAACGAAGTTTTAATATATAAATAAATATGTCGGCTGAGTCAAGACTAAAACTATTGGTCTTCTACATACTGGAATCTTACTTAGTCTCGACTGGAAGAGTCCTACCCACATTTTTTATTTAGCTTTCGTGTCTTGATTAAAAGTATAACATTTAATTACAGCGCATAAACTCGTAATACGTTATAAGATTAACTTTAAATTAATCTGTAATAAACCTAAATTACAGTGAATAAACGAAGTAACCACACGAGTTAATATGATTTAAGTTTAAGCTTACTTAAGATCTCTTAATCTAATGATACACCGGATTAAGTAATATTAACTTAAGTTTGTCTATTAAATTCCTAGTTTTGGGAATTTGTTGTCGGCTTATGTTATTATAACATTAATTAAACTATAACTTGTTCCCGTATAATCCTTTTGAAAATCTGGTCTGTTGTGTTATGTTTGCATGTTTGTTTTTACATTATACCAACTCAATGTCGAGGTTTTGACTGCAAATATTATTAGGTAATTGGAAATGATAACGCAGAGCAAAAGTTGCAGTACAGAGCAGAGCAGTGTTGGCCCAGTTTCTGGCCCGGCTTCAACCTGGGACTCTAATCCCTGAGATCGCAAGTTCGATCTACTGTGCGATCGTGGACTCTCGGTCTACGTGTAGTAATAAACACTGTGTAGTACTAAACTACTTAGTTTTTTTAATATACGGTTTTATAAATTAAGAATAAGTCACACCAGAGTATCATATTTCAACAAATGAAAGCACAAAGAATTGAGAGGCCGAATTCTAATGACGTCGGCCATTGAAACAGAGCTTTTTTATTCGGCGGCAGTTCGGATAATGATGTCCTTATTCTGTGAAAGGTCTAGTTTCTGGTGGATTTTAATTTTTACTCCCCTCTGAAACTGTGACCCATTTTTCGGGGGCAACCATGCGGAAGGTTTGTTTAATGAGGTCCCTATGAGATGTTTTTTAAAGTTTGCAAAGTTATTATATCTATTGCCAATAAAATTAACAGTCAAAAAGCTATTTCAATTTGACTATACTTTGCACTTACCGTAGTCCTTACTCTATTTGAATAACGACATAAACACCTTTTGGACTTTATAACTATGTTACATTCAAAGCCGCGTATACCTCAACTCACTCATATAATTGAGAAGTCATACTGTATAAAATAAGGTCGACATCCTTCCGTTACATCACTCGTATTTATATAGCGAGATTATAGAGCAAGATAAAATAGTCAGCATTCGTTAATTAGGTCACAGCGTAAAGAACCCCAAGGAGGCTGTGGATTTAAGATTTACGTATCCCACGTGTATTTAACTGTAATTAGTATTATTGCGTTATATACAAAACAAAATTTTTGTCCTGTTATAAATTCTCGACCCTAAGATAATGAGTTTGATCTCCGGCTGTGCATCAAGAGATTTTTTTATAACCGCAACGTTTGCCCGATCGGTAAAGAAGAAACATCATAAGACACGTTGATTACATCCAACTTTATCTCGCTATTTTTAAGTTATGATATATGTAAACAAGGTAACTTTCTGTTAATGTAATGTTACATGCTAACACAAATAACACATTTTAACACTTTAGTTGGTCAATTATATAATTTAATATAATGCGGGTATGCTACGCGTTCGAATCGGGAACTAAACCAGAAATCGGGTATCCCGGCGTGACTTTTGCCCCGGAATTGACGGGCGGGTGTCAGGACGAGGTATTGATCGGGCCACTTCGGAGCCATTCGGGTGAGCTCGGCGCACTTCGGGATTACTTGAGCCGGTCAGTTGGCGTGTCAACTTAACTTGGAGTTTAATTGGGACAAGGTTAGCTATGATTTGGCAGAAGTGTTTGGAAGTCACGCTTATTAGAGGCCGAAAAAGTTTAATAAAGTCGATTTGGCTAACGTTGTAACTTTATCCTAAACTTCAGGTCAAATATTTACATTTACCTCTCGTGAATCTGTTGCGTAGGTTTTAAATTTTTTTCTGCAACCGTTTATTTGGCGGTTTTTTAAACAAATGACAAGAATTTTAAAACTTTTGGTTAAATTTACATGAACCAGTGTCACCTTAACTAAATCTGATTGAGACACAACATAAGTTTCTATTTTGTTATAGATTTTTATTGCTGTTTGCTCGTGTTTCCTTTAGTTAGTTTGAAATTTTTATGTTCTGATATAATTGATGTGTGTGGAACATTTGTAAAGTCATAGTATCTACTATATTTTAAGCATACAATTTGTTTTAAATAAATAGATATAAGACAAAAGTATAATAAATATCTAATTATGCAATAAACAACTTGTTATGAAAATTTCATAGAACTCATTAGTTGACTCCTATAAGAAAACGAAATGAAACGAAAATTGGCGTCTATAGATTCTGTAATTTACTAGGATATGCCATAACTCCCGAAGACAATTTGGCATTGACAAGAAAATATATTTTCATACATGGGGTGAGCATTTGCAAACAATTCCATCCGGTTCGATATTGGTCTATCTCAGTATTGATAGACAGATGGAAAAAATACGTTGTTTTCGAGATGAAAGTATAAATAAGATGGATGCTGGAAAATGAAGAAGGCTCTATTTACCCGCAAAGCTATACTTAAATATTTGCTAGAAATCATATGTATATAATGTATTTTTCAAATCATTCATTATTCGCTACTGTTAATGAACATTACCTTAGTTTAAGCTATTCATTAGTATTGTAGAAAATTAAGTCAACATAATATAACTTATTAGCCATAATTATTGTATTGGCTAGATTGTAATTCATGTAAAGTCGCGCTCTTTTTTGTGAACTTTATGCGTTTCATCCGTAAAAATTTAACCCTCATAAAGAAGTTTCACTTCAAAAAGTTGCCTTTATTTGAGTTCTACATAATCAGGATTACATTAAGTTTCATCCAATTATGTTTAACACGAACAACCTCCGACGGAGTGAAGGCCTCCTCCAAAATCTTCCACTTGTCTCTCATCGCCACCATTTACCAATCCTTCCCCGCTATCCGTTTTATCGCCAAGGATCGCCATGTTTGACGCCTCCGCATATTTTTATTTCTGGGTATATTCTTTCTAACTTCAAGCGGCTTTCGCTTTGATGGTATGTATTTTGTATCGTGAAATCACTATATAAATGTATGTATTTGTGAGTAGTCTAGTTGTTTTGTGGTTGGTTCATCATATCACAGAATGACGAATACTGCTTCCCTGTAAAGAGAAGAGATGACAAAACACACGCGGAGATGTGCTTATTGGTAGCATCAAAATAGTGGGTACATTTTATTTAACATAGCGCCATCTATCAGCATTATAATCGAATTAAGCAGCTGTCAAACATTATTATAGCGAGGTTATTGTAATGTATGCACTAGTTAATTACGTTACCTGATACATTACTGTTACAGATGTATCTATCAAAACGAGAGATCTGTTTTTCATAAAAAATTACAATATAAATTCATATTTAATAAAAGAAATGATTAATATTTAAAAATAAGAAATGAATTAAAATAGCAGATTAAGAGTTTATTTTAGGAATCATAGAATTGTTGTATTTGCAATTTAAATTTATAAAACTATCACTTTAAACTTCAAATACTATTTCCGAATGAAATAAAGAAATTTAAAATAAATCTAAATTATTTTCTAGTTTTAAATGCCAGCAACGCCGTCGTCCGCTCGATTCCAAAAAAAGTATCTTCAAATGGATCCAATAATACGTTGACAGCGAAGTTTGGCAAGTCATAATTATTCTAAAATTGTATTTATTATTCTATATACTGAAATACATTTCGTAAATTCATTACAGTAAATAACATACGAATTAACCACTTCTGTAAACCTCTATGTTGTGGATTTGGGTCAAACCCAAGTATTTAATTGAAAAAGTTAAATGTTTACGTTTTATTTCCAATCGTCTCGAATGGGGCAAATTTTTATGGGGATTAGATTCAAATTACCCCAACTTTTATTGCGTAGGGTTCAAGGGCCCTTGTACCTGATGTTTGTTTTGCCATTCACTTTCTTATATTTAATTAAATTTTAAAAGCTTTGTGATGTAAGTCCACTCAGACGATACTTGCCTTTATGAGGGTAGCCATCATGGTAGCCATGGCAACGTTATCCTCAAAAATACTCCCTTTTTAATCCATTGAAATCGTACCGTTTAAATATAGTAAAGATAATTATCATTTTCAATTGTGTTGCCCTTTTCGTAGTTTCTGTATATGTTAACGTAAAATTGTAAAAACCGTTAGATTGTAATCTATCTCGCGAGATCATAAACTGTCGAAAGATTGTGAACTAAGCGTACTGCTTACAATTTAACGTATTATTATTCGGTAGATTGTAATCTATCGAAGTGAAACCGTCAAATTGTGAAACGGCCATTTTCTACTTTTCTATTGGTTATAAGAGATGTGACAGATGTGAATACAAAAATCGATTTACACTTTTAAAAAATAGATTATTTTTAAATAATTTCAAAATTTTCGGAACCCTACACTAATTGAAACATGAAGTAATGTAATGTATGTACATTTGACAAGTAATGGTTAAATTAGGTTAGGTTAGGTTAGGTTAGGTTAAAATTAACAAATGAGGAAATAATCGATTCGATAAGGTTCTACTTTAAAATGAACAAATGAGGAAATAATCGATTCGATTAATTTACCGAGAATGTCACATCTCTTATAACCAATAGAAAAGTAGAAAATGGCCGTTTCACAATATGACGGTTTCACTTCGATTGTTTACAATCTACGAACAATAATACGTTAAATTGTAAGCAATCGTTGAGGTTCACAATCTTTCGATAGTTTACAATCTCGCGAGATAGATTACAATCTAACGGTGTTTACAATTTTACGGTGACATATACAAACTGGTACAAATTAAAAAAACATCGATATTAACACTAAAATATTATTATTATTAATAGATATTTTGATTATTTCACCTTATTCTTAAATGTATACGATACGTATCAGGGTATTTTTAAGTAAGAATAGTATTTTTAAGTAGCAGTAAGTAAATATTTGTATATATATATACTTATATTATATTTATCTGATCGTTATATAAAATTAAAATTAAATAATATATCTTAAAGTGTTATAAAATATATACAATAATGTCTGAGTGTGCATAGTCTTTTTCATTATATTAATCTCTTTTGTGGTTTATCATTAATGGCACAACATTTTTACGCACTAAATATATAATGACACAAAGCAATTCTTTACTAATATCAAATAATCACAAAATTACACAAAGCAATCCTTAAATAAAAAGACAACAAGGTGCAAAAAACACAAAAGAACCAGTCATAAACTAAAGTGGAGCAATTCTGTTTTTATGTGTGTGTTTATTCGCGATCGGGCCATCCTGATTCCTGGATAATTTATCACTTGTTTACCCTGTTTGCTAATAACTTCCGTACATGAAACTTTTTCATGGTTAGTTGGGAGGTATTTTATTAAAAGTATTCTGGTTAGTTAAGGCAGTTATAAAGAGTGAGACTGACTAAAATTCTTCATCTTCAAGATCGATAAAATTTTGTGCTCAAACAGTATTTAAGACATAACTGTGACCCATATGCAAAACCTATAACCATTTGAATTAAATGTATTGGAGTACATTAACATTACATTATAGGTACTATGAGTTTAACGCCTAAAGAGAACTAAACCTTTTGAGTTAATAAACTAGGCTAGATTGTAATTCATGTAAAGTCGCACTCTTTTATTGTGAACTTTATTATAAGAAAATAAAGGAATTGGAGTAACCTCTTACACTATGAGCAACGTAAACCGCATTGTAACGCAACATTTTACTCAAAATGTAAAGTGATTTAAAAAAAATTAGACGAATAAGTCACACAATATCAGAGAAAATGATCATTTAGCAATTTGATCGTGTAAAAACTAATTCTAATAAGTAAATTTGTATGACGAGTCCAAATACATTCAATTATTCGAGCACCAACCAAGCCGTCAAAGTTCATCAGTTAAATAACTAGTCATTATTTGTACATAAAAGCTCAATATACTCCAGTTTGTTAACTCAAAGATTACGAGAAGTTAGTCCACAATCAGCAGAGTATGAAACTGTAATAAAAACAGCCGTATAAGTTATCTTTATAGCGGAGATTAGAAGACCCTGGTCTAACGACTAAGTGATATGTTATGATTCTTTTATAGTATTGTAAAATGTTAAATTTTTATGTTATCATATCATGGGATTTTGTTTTACGTCTGAGAATTTATAAAGCAAATTCTAAAACAAGAAATAACTTTAAAATATATGACATGGATGTAACAGCCCTTTTGAAATAGGTAGTATCGAAATTATTTTCCCACAAACACAACACAGATATTTGATATAAATACAAAAATAGAGGACAAATTCAGCAAATATTAATCAATGAATTCTTTCATAAATCGCGTTGCTTACCGAATAAAAGATCGATTATTGGAAAATTCTTCTAGCGAGGCCGTGGAGGCTTATGAAAGTAAATTTAAATATTAAGTAATGAACGGAACAAATAAATGAACCGGAGCGAATTCTTTTCATCGGACCTTAAGAGTTTTAACGAGCCCCCATTCAGCTTTCCGAACTCTCATAAAAGATCATAATAGTATTGCCAACTCCGCTCTGGGCATTTTATTAGCATCATGCTGAAATGTATTCTTTGATCAATCATTTACTTTTACTCCGTTTAATTCTTGAGGGGATCCATATTGTTGCAAGATTTCTTTTGAGACAGAAATAGGTCAAATATATCTAGGTTTCAAATATTTATATTCCTACTTACTTCTTTTGTGTGTTATTATTTATTATTATTTTGAATTATTAGACAGAAATAGAAAAATCCTTTCGTCCTCTAATTTGCCCTTTATAGTTCCTTTATAACAAACGAAACGGATTAAATACTTGTATTTTGATTGGATCTAATTGGAGAATTTTCCAGTTAGTACGCTCTAACAACGCTTTCTACAATTAACAATGATACTTTTCGTATTAATACCGTAGTTTCCCATTGCGAATAAAATATCAATTCCCGACTCGCCGCTACGTTCATTTATCAAGGCTAAATAAAACATCTGAAGCCACTGAATTTCCACTTGAATTGCAAGTTTGCTTTATTCTTAAATATGTTCGAGTTTGTTCTCTCAATCGGCTAAACGCATTGATTTATTTGTTAGTTGCCGTTTTTGTTTCGTTAAATTTTGAGGCAAGGTGTAAAGTTGTAAATAAATTTTTGCTAGTTTTTTTATAGAGTATTCGGTGGAGCTGTTCGTAATACCAGCAGCTGAGTTTTATCATGAGTCGTCGAGGACGAATACGAAATTTCACTCATATCACCTCATATCCGCCGCACTATGTGTGTAACTAAACTTACCAGAACCAACGACTTTTCTCTTCATGAAAAGAGCGTACCATTCTTAAAAGCCTGCAACGCACTTGCGATACTTGTAGCAGTGTGAGTGGTATGGCCGGTGGTATTACTGTGAGCCTGCTTGGTCCTGCCTGGCTTGGTCTTGATTTGAAAGCTGGCAGTAAATTTGC